GCCCCAAATGTATATAGAATCCCTTTCTTTTCTCTGCCAAAGCCTATCACGCCACATATAGAATAGAGCTCCAGGGCTCCTTTGACCCAGGTGGTGTGTCCAGGTGTGTTTTCCACAGCAGCTGCTTACATCTTTGGCTCAAACTCTTTGGTTAAGAAAATATAATTCTGTTAATTCTAGAGGCCACTCATAAATGTCCAGTTATCTTCAGAGAAAGCCAGCCTGTCTCTTCTAAGCAGCTTTTCCGAATCAGCCCTTCTCCACCTCTCGTAATCTCTCAGATCTTCTCTCAGAAAAGACTTCTGCAATTCCTGCCGTTATCTGTGGTCTGTCCTTCACGTGTGCTCACAGTCAGCCAGACTAAGAGCAATCGTGTGAAGCCGGTCAGGCCTGTCTTTGGTGTCTGTGTCCTTCGCAGCATTCTCCTCTCAGATCTCAGTTTTTGTTGTGATGGCTTGTTTTTGTCTACCTTACTTTGCATTTGAGAAATTTTTTCCCCTACACATTGTGAGGGCAGCCCACAATCAGAGTCTTTCTATGTGCTTTTTACCTCTCCTCTTTGTTTTCACCTGTAGCTTGGGATTCTGGTCACCAAGAACATATAATACATGCACAACCCAACTTAGATTTAGAGACTTGTAATTTTCATAAGCAGAAATCCTGAAACTATGAAACTATGTTCATGACAAAGAAGATTTGGTATTAGAAAGTTCCAGTATGCTGTAACTTTGTTTTTCCTAAACACAGCAATTTATTGTAGAATTCTGTCTACACAGCAGAGGTGGATCCTGTAAAAAGATAGGGGTTCTTTATCCAGTGATGTGTCAGGGTTTGTGTGGAGGAGTGAGTTGGCAGTGACTCAGGATCCAGGGAGTGTGCCTGCCTCCACCTGAACAAGCTGGTGGCAGCTTTTTCCAGGGACCTAGGAGAAAGGGCGTGGGGGTGACCACCAGACAGGGCCAGCTAAGGTTAGCTTTTAATGCATATGCTGCTACCCTCTTAAGTAGAGGATTTAGGGTAAAAACAACACAAAAATGTGCTGTCCCTTGCCGAGAACATGCTGTTAACTAGCTGGTTAAATACATGTATGTAAGGAGTCCTGTTGGCACAGTGATTAACTCAGCTGCTAACTGAAAGGTTGGTGGTTTGCAGCCACCAGCTGCTCTACAGAAGAAAGGATCAGCAATTTGCTACTATGAAGGTTATAGCTCAGAAAACCCTGTAGAACAGTTCTCATTATACTGGGTTGTTATAAGCTGGAATCTGTTTCTGGAATCTATTTGGTGATACACACCAAAATGTTGTGATGCCGAAATTAATGGCACGTTGTCTGTAGATTTCTCTTTCAGCATCCCTCTAGAAGCTCTTCCAGAAACACTCTGCTCAATAAATACCACAAAGAAATTGCAAATTTTGCTGATCATGCATCATTTATACCATTCCTGGTCATTCATTCTCCTAAGCTCTGCAATGTGTTTGATTGTTCCTATAGTCATTTGCACAGATATTTGGAGTGAAAATAACTTAGTTAGAAATTTAAATACTTCTTAAACATATGTCTATGTAAGTGCTACCTTTATGATTATTTATTAGATATTTAAGTGTTGAATTAATATTTTTATTACCACTTTAAAATTTGATACCCATTTCAAAACAATGTATGAAAGTTTCCTTATATTCAGAAGTATAATTAATGTTTATGAACTAAGTAGCCAACTTGACTATATCTATAATACATAAGTTTATGAAAATATAATTTCTGCAGAGAAATTAAATGAACTGTGTTGAGTGTATTAAAATATTATATTAAATGTAGAATATTTGTTTACAGGAGCTATATTTTTCTTACACATATTTCTTTCATTTTTTTCATTGTGATTTTAATGAAAGATTACAGAAAAGTTGGATTTTCATTCATTCGTTTTTGGACATTTCCCTGCCTTCCTCCCAGTTCACTTTAAAAAAAATAAATAATTCATTGTTGCATAGTTTCTTCCCTCCCACTCCCACCCTTCCCCCGTCCACTTGGTCATGCACCTCTTATTCTAAACTATTGTCATACAAATAATGCCTAGTCATATATTGCTTTTAAACAGTTCTTATCCTTCATCTGTTCCAATGTAGTATTTATGATTTATCTCCTCTTTTCTTCCCAACCCCCATGTGTAGTCCTATATATAACAGTGGTGTTATACAGCATTTTTCCTTTTGTGACTAAGATATTTCACTCAGTATAATATCCTCCAGGGTCCATGACATATAATATTTTATTAGTTCCTTGGTTTTCAGTGTTTTGTAGTATTTCAGTGTGTGACTATACCGTAGCTTTTCTATCCATTCACTTGTTGGTGGGCACTTGGGTTGTTCTGTCTCTTCTATTTGTGAATAATGCAGCAAAAAAGCATCAGTGTGCATATATCTGTATGGATAAAAGCACTGGATTTTTTTTTCTCTCTTATGTTCTTAGTAGAATTGCTGAGTCAAGTGGTATTTTTATTCCTAACTTTTTGAGAAAGTGTCATCCCAGCTTCCATAATGGTTAGACCATTTTATACTCCCACCAGCAATGAATAAGAGTTCCAATCTCTCCACAATCTTGCCAGCATTTGTTGTTTGCTGTTCTGTTGAACTTTGCTATTGTTACTGAGGTGAGATTGTATCTCATAGTTTTTTTATTTGAAGCTCTGAGAGTTAAGGATTTTTAATATTTCTTTATGTAATTGTTTGCCATCTGACTGTCTTCATTGGTGAGGTGTCTTCATATCCTGTGCCCATGTTGCTGTTTTTCTTGTTGAGGTGCTGGAGTATTCTGTAAGTTTTAGATAAGAGTCCCTTATCAGACATGTCATTACCAAATATTTTTCCCAGTCTGTAGCTTTCCTTTTTATCCTATTGAAGAAGAGTTTTAAGGTGTACAGGGATTTGATTCTTAGAAGGCCCAATTCATCTATTTTATTCTCTCCTGGTTGTACTTTATAGCTATTTCAGTTGACTCATTTTATCATTGGTTAAATTTTGAGTATTTCATAGAGTTGCTGTTAGTACATACACCTTGCTGTAAGACTTTTGGGAGCTCTGCTGCCCTAGTAGGTAAGGAGTTGCAGGCAGCTCCAATCTACCAGCTGCTCCTCAAGAGAATGTTGGATAATCCTCCATAAACTGTTGCCTCTGAAAACTTGCTGGAGGGTCAGCTAAGAATGAGATGGCAGTGAGTGAGTAATAACGCGTTAGAGTCCTGATGGCATGGTCCGTAGAGAGTTGCGTTGCTAACCCAAAGCCTGTGCCTCTCTGGCAGTTTGAATCCAGTAGTTAGTCTGAGAGAGAAAGATAAGCCATTTCTTCCTAGGTGATTTACAGTCTCTGAAAACCTGCTGGGGGGTCAGGTATGAGTTGGTTCTGCCACAATGGCAATGACAGCATTTATAAAACTTTTATCTTAACATCAAGGTTAGAGAGAAAAATCTTATCTCTTTTTAATCTTCATGACTATATTGGCAGGATAAGGAGATAGTGTGTTTAAGTAGTGCCTGCTAGATCTTGGCATGCTCTAATACTACTGTTTATGGAAGATCATTTATATCCATACAGTTTTATAGTTATTCTAAATAAGAATTCATTTCTCCCAGAGAAATATCTTGGTTCATGGGGTTGTTGTTTGGTTTTTGTGGGGGCTTTTTTGTGGGATGGTGGTAGAGGAGGGGCGGGCTGTGGGTGGGGAATCCTCTAAGGTGAAAACGATCTTTAAAACACAACACCAAAAAACCCAAATCAGAACAAACTGTGGTGATCTAGTGGTAAGAAACTGTGCTGCAATCCCCAAGGCACACAGTTCTAATTCACCAACTGCTCCATGGGAGAGTCTCTTGTTGTGCAGTTTACTGTCTCTGAAAACCCATTGGAGGGTTAGCCGAGTACTGTCGGGTCTGTTCAGTGGTACTCGCAACAACAAACCAAAAAGAACAGAGATTCAATGGAGTTTAGAAACAAACCATTATGTTTGGCATCTAGTTACTAAGTTGATGTTCTGGAGGGAAGTGTCGGTGGATTTGGTCTGGGCAGCTCCGGGATGCTGGATAGTCAGGATGAGAGAGGGGGCTAGGTGGAGAACAGAGAGGAAGACTGCACTTCACCCTTCCAGTACTTGGTTGGTAAGCCCCTGAATGGCTGAGGAATAGAAGCAGAGAAGTTGACAGAGACCATTTGAGCATCTCTGAGCTGAGGCACAGTTCCAGTAGTCATGGTTCTTGTTTGTGAATCAAGGTGCTGGGAGGACAAACCCTGCTTTCAGTGCAGATCATTTCATCTCTCCCTGCTCTCTGAGGCTGACCTCTCCATAGTGTCATTCTGGAATATATCTTCTGTCAGTTGTGCTGCTATTGTGCTGCAGACCACATTCTCTAAAAGCTGTGCATCCTGACAAACACTGTATACTTGTCCTCAAAACACTTGGGGAGGAGGGATGTGTATTTGCACCTGAGTATTAAAGTTGCCAGACAACTGAAGGAGTGTTAGTGCTTTGCCTTGCCTGGATTTCCTTTAGGAGTGAATGAATGGTTAAGGCATACAAGCAGAGGAGTTCTGCCTTGTAGTTCCACTTCAGTTTTCTATCTCAGTTTGCTTGCTTATGCCACCCTGACTCAGAAAATGTTTCTAAAAAGGGAATTTACAGGTCTGTCCCAGATGAAACACGTCCAGGAGACTTCTTTATCATAGAAGGGCGTAGCCAGAAAAGGAATAAAATTAAATGCAGCAGGAATATGATGGATTTTTTTTCCATAATGGCCAACTTTCCTGCTTTATTTTTTATAGGTACTTAAAATTTCTGGAAACTGTCATCTGATTCCAAAGGGGAGTTTGGAAGATTTATTTTTTGTTTAGGTTTAGTTGTTTGGGGTTTTTTTTTTGGGGGGGGGGTGGTTTTTTTGTGTGGTTTTTTTTTGCGGTAGATTATTTTTTCTTTTGCTAATTTTTAGTGTTAACTTTGACTCTGTTCTCAATAGGAGATGAAAGCATGGAAATTAAAAAGCAAATTACAGGAATGAGAAGATTACTGAACGACAGTACTGGAAGGATATATCAGCGTGTTGGCAAGGAAGGAGAAAAACTAAAAGAAGAGCCCCAAGATTTGGATTTAATCTGGCCTCAGCGTTTGAACTCTTCCACTGAAACCCCGCAGAATGTCCGCCCTTCTTCAGGTGGTACATGGAATGAGTTACCATCCCAAAGCAGGCAGTTTTCAGGACAGTATGGCACCCGTTCTAGAACTTTCCAGAGTCAACCCCACGCCACCGGAATCTCCAACGGTATGCTTGTTATCAGACATTCAAAAAGCACTTAATGGGAGTTTGTCCTGAATGTGTTTTCTTTCTTAAATACTCAGTATTTTCTTTGAGTTGAATTAAATATTGTTAAACCCTCCTTTAAACACCTGCCTTAGCCAAACTATTTTAATATACACAGAAAACATAAAGGGAAAAGTCAAAGAGAATAAAAAGTCAGACTTAAGAATCAGGAAAGATTGGAAGATCTGTATTAAAAAGGCAGAGTTTCCATGGGAAGAAATTAGCCCTTTCAAAAGTAAAGTTTTCACTTGCCAATTCACAAATGTTGTCATACAGACTGAATGTCGGGACAGAAAGATTTCCTTTTTGTAGTTAGCAGACGCTTCCTGGTCCTGTCATGTGTTATGAATATATTATCTTTCTAACTCCTTTACTTTTTATTATTATTGGAAGACGTTAAAGGGAAGACTGACAGGGTCCTGAGTACTTTTGCTTAAACCACACATCCCAGTTACTGAATCAGATGATCTTTATTTTATCATTTCCTTCATTAATGTTGACAGGTATCCCTTTTACTTTAAGTAAAAGTTCTGTAGACTTAAAAAAAATACAAATGATAGGTATTTCTTCAAAGCTTAAGGAAAATATTAATAATTTTTCTCGTTTTAAATTTCCATTAAAGACACTATTTTATTTGTGTTCTAAATTATGTATAAAAGTACAGATCTATAATTTTCACAAAGAGAACAAGGCAAAATAAGATTGTACGTAGTAGGAAGATGCATTACAGTTTCCTTAAAAAGATTTTTAAGGACTATTATTCATTTGTTGTTATTTCATGGTATCCTTTTAATAAAACTATTTTGATTTTAAAAAACACATATAAAACCCCCCACAATTTTTAGTAATCATTTCAAAAACATAAGATGCTACCCTGAGACACTGCTGATGTGACAGCAAGAGACCCCAGAGATGTATGGGTGTCTTGTCTTTCCCTCAATATTACATAAGCCAATATCAAATTCACAGACTGGCATGCATCCAAGTTGGAAGAAGATGGCTCTTTAAAGACTCCTCCATAAAAATAAAAAGTCAGTTCTCTTTAAAATTAGAAAATGATTTATAACAAGTTGAAAAGGCCTGGCTTTGTCCTCTAAAAGTGATAAAAATAGTACTTCACACAGTGACTAGGATATACTATAAGGTCCTCCTATTTTTTCTGCCATGGAAGAAATGATATGAAAAAGAAAATATCCTGATACATACCAAATAAGTTTTGGGTAAACAGCATTCAATAATAATGGTGAATTTATTTTGGAAAAATCTCATTAATGTTAATAAAAGTTATAAATTCATATTATTTTAAAATAGATCTTTTAGTATTTGTTGCTTGCTTGTTTTCAGTAGAAATACATTATATAGGACCATAATTTGAGATTTCTTTGATTGTACATTTAAATAATTTGCATTTTTAAAGTAGTAACTTCTCAGTTTGATACAGTTTTAAGTTTAAATTGGGCTGCTTTGAGCATTTAAGTCTTTTCTGGTTTTACTTTGGCAAATATTTTCATGTTATCTATAAATAATGTGTGTTATATAATTTAAATTACATTTAATGTTTAAGAACATATATAATTGGAATAAAGCCTTAGAACTTTCCTCTTTGACCTGATGAGAAGACATAAGTGGTTAGCAAGTCTCTTAAAGGGATCCATTTGGGATAATATGGAAATAAATATTAGTGCTAGGGAGAATTATTATACCATAGGAGTGATTTTTCCAAATGTTCCATTTTATTCCAAGAATCACAAAAAATGTATTTGTTTACATGGAAAGGGATGAATAGGTGTGCGTTAGTCAGGAAAAGAAATTAAATTTCAAAAATGAAAAGGAGAGTAAATGAGAATGAATAAAATAATCACTTTTACTCAGTTAGGGAAATGCCAGTACCAGCAGCTTTAAACTCATCAGGTTAAAAAGAATTCTCCCATGCCATTCCTACGCCATCCCCCAACCCAGGCACACCACACTCAGACAATATATTCAAAGTTTTGTGTTCACTGTTCTTAATTTTTGAAACAACGTGCTTACTAGTAAAGCTATTTTTTAATAATTAGGCTCTCATTTAAATCTTAACATCTACTTTTACATAGAACTTTTTTTTTGTAAAGCTGTTCTCATTCCTTGAGCAAAATGGCATGAGTATGTTTGTAATGAATTTTTATATTGTTATCTGAGGTGAACTGGCTTGGCAATAGAGAGGCCTGCTGAGACAGTGGCATTGTGTTCATATGTTCATTGCAGACTCCACCATCCCCTGAAACAGCATGCACCTTACAATGTAGAAGCTCGCATAATTAGATAAAGGCAGACCCCAAAATAATTTAAGTTTTGAAAATTATAAGGTACAATTCCATAGGCACAATTTCATAATAATTACATATGCTAAAAACACTGTCAAGGTGCCTTCCGTTTTTTGTTGTTTGCAATGTGTCATTATTTTTCTTTCACGCTTAGGAGAACTTCCAGTGGTGAATTCATCAGGTGGATCAAACTGCTGTACTTGTAACTGCCAGTCAACATTGCAGGCCATTCTCCAAGAACTGAAGACCATGAGGAAATTAATGCAAATTCAAGCAGGTACAAATCTCAGACCTTGGAACTAGTCCTTTGATTTTTAATGCATATCTGACATCTTACTCAGGATGTTTACTGTGCTTTTATCATGTAGTTCTTTCCCCGCGCCATCTTGCTGTGCTCCTCAGGTACCCATTTTCTCACAGCTCATTTTTCCTTTAAGAAATCAAGCACATTTTTTATCACTAATAATACTACATGTATTCCATATACTCATCCCATGATCGTCTAGTACTTCACAAATGCCTATTAATGAAATTTTCCAAGAATTATCTGTGAAGGTGGGTAGAGTTCATTTTCTTAATATGAATTGACAATAAGGTTCATATCAAGAAAGATAATGAAGAGGACTCAACTTTTTACTGCCTGAGGTGTTTAAGTTAGACACTATGTCTGTTTAGATACCTCCTTTTACTGTCCAAGCCAATTTGAGGGTTTGGTGTGATGGTGAGGAAGGCTACCCATTTTTAATGTATGTGGAGAAGACCCTTTGGACATGTGAATTCCACTGTTGAAAACATTCAGGAACCTAAGGAGATAAAATATGTTGGACCTTACCTCAGGCTCTGCTTTTTTCTGACATTCAGGATTTGAATCTGTACTAGTGATAGTTTATAGACACCTCATGTGTAGTTTTCTTCGTTTACATAAGTTAGTTTTTTTATCACTATCAGACAAATTGAAGAACAAAAAGGCAATCAGTTTGTAGTTTGAGATGGAATTCCCTCTTAAAACTGAGTGATTTTTTTTTTAGCTTCAAATGTCTCCTCAATAGATGGATCATATTAATATTGAACGTACAGGATTGTTGGAAATGTAAATGAACTTTATAAAGCACAATATAAACATAAGCTATTTCATTAGTGATGTTATACAGACCACCTTGCGCTGCATGGGAATCAGGAGATCTGAGGTTTTCATTATAGTAGATGTAATTTCTAGAATTCATGATTGGGAGGAAAAAAATAACCTGTATATATTTTTGTTTGGGTTGTGTTTTTTTTTAAGTGTTGGGTTTTGTTTTGTTTTTTTTAACCACAAATAAGGAGCCTTTCCTCTAGGGAAAATTTTTATTTGCCCTTAGGCTAAAGCAAGGCAACAGACAACACAGTCATATACATTCCATTTCATTATTACCGTATTCAGGTAGATCGTTGTTCTTGGTGACATTTAGTGAATTCTTATAAAGTTTTAATATTCAGTTACGTGATTGTGATATAAAAAGCTTAAAACATATCAGTCACCCAAGGTCTCATTAAAGTAAATCAAGCAAAGAGCTTTCTGAAAAGCAACGTATTTTTAAGTCCTGAGTTTGGTTTTATCCGAAGGAAAAAGAAGCATTTGCTCAGGTCATTAGGCATTTGACTCCCCTTGTTCGATCACAAAAATCTGAGTTCTTATTAACATGGCAAAGGTTAACATTTCCTAAATAAGGCGCTCAGAGAGAAAGGTTACTTTATTATATACGGATTCTTTTCTCAGAGGAAGAATTTGTTAGCACTTAAGAAAATATGTACATGAAATTGTAATGATTTGTTTTGTTGTTTAAGCTCCTTACTACTGAAATGGCAAACTACAAATTGCAGCCCGTTAAATCCTTGACTGAAACCTTTTTAGAATCTATTAAGTAAATGCCACTTTGTCACCATGTTTTCTTTTCAGAACCTCTGCAGATTAGGGCAGTAAACTGTTCCAAAGCTGCAGGATAGTTTAAAGGATAAAACTGCACAAATGACTCTTCTTTAATTTTCTTAAACATATATGTTGGTATTGTGTGGGTAGATTTACTTAAGTTTTATTGCCTATAAGACTTAGAAAGTTTCACCTTTACTTTAGGGAGAAGACAAGGAATAAGAACAAGTGATAAGATCTGAATACAGAAGACAGGACTGTGTCTAGACTTGAAGAAGACCAGAAATTCAGATAGTCCCTCTGTTTTTTAGTAATTTTCACTTTTAATTTAGAATAGTGAGGCTTAGGGAGGCTTGTGCCCTAACAGTATCTTGATAATTACTCCAGTTATTGTTTTGACTTTGGGAGTGTAGACCTACCCTTGAGTGAAAAATTCAAATAAAAGAAAGTTTGAAACTCTGGTTGCATTTTAAACTACTTCAGGAGCTTTCAAAAAACACTGGTGCCCAGGCCCCACCCCTGGAAATTCCGATTCAATTAGTCTGGGTGGGGCTGAGGCATTGGAATTTTTTTAAAGCTCCAGAGTGATTCTGATAAGCAGCCAAGGTTGAGAACCACTAAACTAGCCTACTATGTGGATAGCTTTAGACTTTCAGTGTTCACTTAAGGTACAAAAAGCAAGTATAAATATTCTTTATATTTTTAAATTGATAGGACACATAAATAAGAGGGAGTGACCCATATTTACATGTATTTTAAAGTGTTCCATGTTTATTTGGCTTACTTAATTTCTTTAAAAGCAAGCATATCTTGTAGCTAGCCGTATCTTGTAAGTCATATTAGTATATGGCACTATATAATAAGGCCTTATTTTCTATTAAATTTTTCATGGCAGTATGTTTAAATGTTAAACAAACATTACTTTTCAAAGACAGTATAAAAACTAGAATTACAGTCCTTGATGTCTAAACATATATATTTAATGTTCTGGTGGTGGTCCTAACGGGCAAAGGAGTTGCACTACCAGCCCAAAGGCAGATGTTTCTAATCCACCAGTGGCTTCTTGGGAGAAAAATGGGCAATCTCCTCCTATACAATTTATATCCTCTGAAAATGTATCTTTTGGGTCAACGATGAGTATGTTACAAGTCAGCAGCAATGTGAAAGAGAGATACTTAATATTAGCCTTTGTACAGTTCTTTACACCTTTGGAACTCAGACTGTTTCTGGATTTTCACTGATTTGCTTGACAGGTACGGAACCATATTATTTCTATTTTTCAGCCACACAAACTCAAGTACAGAGAAATGGCCTAGCCTGAAACTGAATAGTACAGTACTATGGATATTGTTGATCTGGGGGAAATAACTTTTTTGGTGGTGAACTAGTTATTTGGCCTTGAAAACAGAGCAAGAGGCTTTATCTACATACTTATCTGGTACCTAATACAGAATCATCCCAAACTATTTCTTTTGATCAGCCTTTCTCAAATATCATCATTACTCAGTTTTTGTCAGTTTGGGTACCTGCAAGTCATTAGTTTAACCCTAATTGACAGTTGAAATATTTTTAGAAATTGGCTTGATAGAGAGGGTAGAAACCTACCCTTAAATTTAAAACTCTTAAAGAGTTCTCATTTATAATATGTCATAGAATTTCTAAAATAATACTGCAGTATTTTCTCAAGAGCTTTTCCTTCCATCTAATTCAACAGCTATTGTAATTACTCACCAGTGTCTAAAGCAAAGTTTTTTCTTGGGTCTTGTTTTGCCTTTAAAACTTAAAATGCTCCAAAGTCAACAATTGGGAGACTGTCCAGTAGGAGATTCATGAGTCAACCTCATTCAAGTTTCAGTTTATCAAGCCTGTAGTAGGTAGATGGGGAATAAGTTTTCCAAAGTTAGACACAAGTACCTGTACCATATTTTTGTTTATTGTTCACAGTTGGAACTCAAAACAGACAACAGGCCCCAATTTCCCTTATATGCTCCCAGCGAACTGCTGTCTCACGCAAGAGAAATAAAAAGAAAAAAGTTCCCCCAAAGACTGTTGAACCTCTTACTGTGAAACAGAATCCCAGTGTGTTAGAAAATGAAAAGAAGACAACAGTGGCCTCTGAGCAGTCTGATCTCCAAGCAGCCGAGCACATCTCCACTGAGGAGAACCACGTTTTAGGATTTGGCATTGTTCTTGACTCGCCTGCCTCAGATGTAAGTTGATATTTTATGGCTGCAGAAACTAATGTGATGTAACTTCCAGGGATTTGATAATATTAAGAAATGTTCCCCTTCACTAGTTTTGCCCAAGGAAAGTAGAGATTCTTTCAGAATACATGTGGGAGAGAGAAAAGGAAGCCGACTAATTCCCTTGCCTAGAATTTCCTTTTCCTAAAAATGTTATGCCTTACTTGTTTAAACATGTTTTCATTCTTTATTTCTGAAAAGAGTGACAGAGTAAATAGTCTTCTCACTAATTTTTTGAACATTTTAAATTTTGAAGTGACAGTTTTCAATTTCCTCAGTGTAGAGAACTAAATGAATATAATTAAATCCTTTGTAGATGAGCATAAATGAGCAGAATCATACAGATAAGGTCATACCTCTCTAGAAATACAAACTAATAATAAAAAAAGGAGCAGTAGTGCTAATTCTATTTTATAGATGCAAGCTACACTGCTAATTAGGTTGCAGTGCCATGCCACTTACTCTGAGTAATGATAGGTTAACGCTCTGCAAAGGATTTTCTATTTTAATATCATAGCTGGTGTCATTACAGTCAAAGATGTTGGATGATGTGGAGATACCTCTTTGACTTGTTATTTTATATTCATATGACCATAAACTAATTTCTTTAATGATGTGTTGCATTTGCAATCACATACAATTCCCAGTATTTTTATCTGAGTACATTTATGTTGTTAGCCCCAACTAGTTGGGGAAGTTCTTAAAATAAACAAGAATGAGTGATCTATTATTACCAGCTTGCATAGGATGAGAACCCTGCTGAGAACTCCCACAGGGGTATATATGATGAGAGTCTGGGCCTACCTTTTACACTTTAAATAAGGAATAAATTGCTATTGTTTTTTTAAAGTACTCCTTTTAAGTTATAGAAAGATAGCTTGCCAGCATATGTCCACATTGGGTCTTTAATGGAACAAAAAAAATTATCTCGTGACTCTTCTAGATGAGACAATGAATTTGAACTTTTAACCAACCTTGGTCTTAAAGGAATATTTTTATCTATGTATGCATGCTGCTATTGTTTAAAAGTTCTAGACTAAAAAAATTTATTTGGAAAAAATCATTAATGATAATTCTCTGTCATTGGCTAATCAGCTTGCTTGATTATATTGTTACTCTAACTAAAGTTCTGATTTCAAACCAATTTAGATCACATGCTTGGAAGGAACACCACACAATGTCAGTCCTCAGCAGTTTTCACGATATTTTCATGCTTTCCTTGAATTTTCTCAGCATTTTTTCCCTGATAGGTTTTAATGTCTCAGGAGCGGTAATTTGAATTGCATAAATAATTGCCCAAATGGACTGATGTACTAGTAATGACTGAACTGTCTCCTTTTTTTTATTTTTAAGGTCCAAATGCACATAGGTGAGGAAGATCTGAAAAAGGCCTGTGCACAATAGGAAAATATTTGGGATAAAATAGAATTTTATTATCTTTACCAGTATCAGTGTTATAATTTTATTTTTATACCATATAGAATTCACTTTTTATTCAGGATTATTTTTTGCTAACAAAAGCTATAAAATTTGATACAGCACATTCAGAATTGATCATGAAATTTCAGTCAGATAATCTCTAATTAAACAACGGGATATTTTTGAAGAATAGGATAGTTCTAAAGAATAGTGGGGGGAAAGTAGATATTATCTTTACATTATTCCCCTAATAACACTAATTGATATATCTGTTCAACAAAAATGGTAACAACTTCTCGAGAGCTTTCTTTTGAGTGTCATCACTGGATGAGGGAATGCTATTTGAATCCTGCCCCTGGCATTGATGTGACTGGTTTATGCAGTCCTTTACTTTGGGTGTGAGATGAGTCCACCAAAGGGGCAGACTAGCAGTGCTAAGAAACCCAAATTTAGGTGCTTTTCCAGTCTTTTGTTATTTCTTTCACCATTAGCCTTTTAAAATTTAGTGACAGTCTAGAAGATAAAGCAGAAAATTAATTATACATGATTATTCTAGAAAACAAATTTAAGAAAGATAAAATCCATTTATTTCAAGTTAATACCATCTCATGGATACCCTACAGATAGAGTGGAATTACTCTATAGGGTTTCCCAGGCTGTAATCTTCACAGCAGCAGACTTCCAGCTCTTTCTCCTAAGGAGAAGCTACCAGATTTGAACCAGTGAGCTTTCTGGTTAGCAACCCAGGGGTTAACCATTGTATCTTCAGAGTTGTGACTTTGAGTATGGGTCCTGAAAGTAATCCAGCCTTGGAAAGACTAGGTCCAGGGTATAGGTTTGGGGAAAAGTAGTTGTCTGTCAAGGATTGGTAATAGATACAGATGTAAACATAGGATGGTTATGGGGTATAGAGTAAAATGAGGTGTTGTATAGAGTGTAATGAGTATATAATGAGAATAGAGTAAAATGAGGTGGATTACCAGATGATAGCAGTTTCTTTAATTAAGAAGTAAAATCAGAAGCAAGTTCTAGATGAGAAATAAAAGTGAGTTTAATACTTCAGAAAGTTCCTTGGGTATTTGGAGCACAAGATCAGAACTAGGAACAACAGGAAGATGACATATAAAACCTATTTTATTGTTTATTAAGTATGAACATAAACATGCAATGAATTTCTTTCTACACTGTGACTTGTAGTGTCACAAAAATTTGCATGTCTATGCACAGACATAAAAAATGTAAAGGCCCATGTGGAGCTCTAGATCACCACAGGAGAACCACCCATCTTCTGATTACTAACGATTATCCCTACTCAGCTGAAAAAAAAAATTAAAACTAATCAAAACAAATTGCAATGTCAACACAAATTCAGTGTTTTGAGCATTAATATACAGACAAATTCTAGGGTAGTCTCTGGCAAATAAAAAGTAATAAATGCTACTTCTTTAGACTACAGGCCACAAAACATACTTGCATTAAGCACAATATATAAAATAAAATATATGAAACTTCAAATCTAGAGCTTGGCTTTAATTAGAACTCTCTCCTTTCTATTTGACCCCTTTTGCTTGTTCTTCACTTATTCTTACTCTTCTCAAGGTTTCAGGGTGATTTCAGTAATCATATGTGGTAGAACTTTCAACAGAACTTAACAACAGCAACAACAACATAACACATGTGTTGTATAGCACATGATTCCTCATATTTCCTCAACAGGTTTTCTAGGACAAAGAGTATGTAATAATACTTATGTGCCCTCCAGCCCTAAATGATTGACCTCAACAACTCTATGAGGTGTTATTATCTTCATTTTATAGATGAGGAAGTATGGCATAAAGGGCTTAAGTAGCCTGTCCAAGTTCATGCAGCCAGAAACAGGAATGTGGGTTTGTAAGCTCAGGTCTCTCCTCCTCTCTTACAGATCATGCTGCAAGACAAGAGAGACCAGTCTAGCACAATCCTTGTACAGTGTAAATACCCAGTGAATGCTTGTGGAATGATTTTTGTATACAAAAGGGAATGGAAAAGTTAGATCGTGGCTGTGTATTCTGTTTAGTTGAAAGTTTCTTGGTGAGAATTAATAGTTAAGATTACAACTTCTGAGGTCGGAGTGCCATGTTAGAATCTTAGCTGTGTGAGCCTGCGCCAACAAACCTACCCTCCCGACTCAGGTTTCCCTCTGTTAAATGGGAGTTTAAAACTGTATTTATTTCATGAAGTTGGTCTGGTGGAAGAGTTGAGCAGTGGCTACACTCAGTAAAAATTGGTTCTTTTCCTAATCTTCACAGGCCTGTGATAGATGACCTTTATAATGACAAAAACATCTTTTAAATAAGCTGTGTGTATATACGGATGAACAACAAATATACATACAAGGTGTATGTGCTTTTGAAAAATACTGTTTTTATAATGGGACTAGTAAAACTCTTTCTCTTTTGGGAAGGATTAGTTAACCTTATTAAATTAGCACAGTAAGTAAAATTTCAAGTCTCATTTACAGGAAGTAAAAGCAGAAAACCAAAACCAAATTTCAGATTTAGATACATAACTTTATTATTTCTTCATGAGTTCACAATTCAGTGTTCTACTTTTACCTAAACAACCGTTGCTTATTTTTTTATAGTTACTGTCTTTCTTAGTTGGCTATATTGACTTGTATTTCTAAGAACATGCATACATGTCCTAAATTGGTTTTGCTGTCATTTTTTAAATTTGATTTGTTTTCTGAATTTAGTAAAAAACTGAGCAGATTTAAAAATATTTTTATAATAATTTTTAAAAATTATTTTAAACTACAATTTTTTCCGTTAGTATAATTATATATTCTACAGTAATCCTAGACTATACTGTTTTCAAAATTATCAGAAAATATAAGTCAAATAAAATTTTGTATTTTATACCTTTCTTTATAAAAGAGTTAAAGAAACTATTTTAAAATTTTTAAAAGAAAAATTTTAAAATATATCAATACATTCAACAGAAATAAGTTCTGAATTAAACCCTTTGTTCTGTAACACTTTTTTAACCTTGTTGTTATTCACTGGAAACTAATAAAATCAGCAAACAAACACCTTTTAATTTCTTCATTGACACTTAGAAATGGAAGAAGTATATTGGGATGAAAAACTCGAGGATGAAAAATTCTAATAAAGACTGAGTTCAGATCTTTGCTTTATCACTTTTTAGCTGGATAATCTTGGACAAGTTACTTAACCTCTCTACAGCTTAGTTTCCTCACCTGAAAATTGGAGATGATAATAGTAGCCTCTTCATAAAGTGAAAATAAAATCCGTGTAACCAGTAAAATCTTAGGGCCTAGAATATCAATAAATACCAAATACATGTTAATTATCATCACTATTTTCTAAGACATTTTGAAATAAATGAAAAAAAGTCCTTGTCCTTCAAGGAATGTATGGGAGGAAAAGACATTATGTAGCATAATAGAACTAAGTTCTAAATCTAGATGATGAAAGGGGAGAAGTTTTCCTGTGTTTGGAAGATCAGCGATAGATTCTCAGAGCTGGACATCTCGTATTTAGAGAGGCATTATCAATGGAGTTATGAGAAAAGAAGCTAGAAAGTAGTGGTTAAAATGATATGTATTATACATTCTGGCTCATATACCTTTAGCATAAATCAAACTCTAGTCTCAGGGTCACTGATTTATTACCTGAAAAAAAAAAGGAGCTGAAAACATTGCTAAAAGAGTGTAATACCCCATTATGCAGATATTTTCAAGGGATCAGATTGTATTGTCATTTCTAAAATTAAATTCTCATCCCAGCAAAATTTTCCCAATTAAAAACATTTATAAATAATTTGGTTTTTAATGATGCTTTGTCATTTTCCCCCCATCTAGCATTAAATAAATGCTAGTCTCTAGATTACTCATATTTAAAAACAAACTTGACACTTGGCATGTTTTACTTTCTAATGTATTTTTGTGGTCACCCGCTTCATCGACCATGCTCTTAGCACAGCATTTAGAAATGGGTAGCAGTACTTCTTGCCACAGCTACCTGGAGAAGGCTGAGTTCTGGGAGACAATTTCCTATTTTCTCTTAATTTTCCAATTTCCTGTTTTTCTCAAGCAGAAGCTGATTATATTTATGAGCAAAATAAAATCACTCATAAGGGTGTTTGATATTTTAAAAAATTTTCTTCATAAACTAAAGCTCATTTTCCTAGAAATACATTTAATGTGCTAACCAAATCCTAAATTAGTAAAGAGGGCCATTGTATACTAGTATTACAAACATAAAAGCTAAACCAACACCCCTTTCAAGCATTCTTCTAAACCTTTTTTGTATGTTTTCTCAGTCAAAATCAATTAGTCTTCTTCAACAGAATCTTGTCTGTTCATCAGTATCTTATTTTGTTCCAAGTTTCAATCCTGATCCAGTCTGAGATTAACCTGCTAGCTGGGCTACAGCTCTTTGGTCTTTGTCACCACATGATTTCATACGAACATTCTTATGTACATATCTATAAATGTGATTGTTTTATAACACACAGAATTTACAAATCTTATGGGTAGTTTCTTAATTTGCAATTGAAAATCTGGTATTAATATGCAATATGAGCATTCATACACTTCTCTTCTACTTGATTTAAAAAAAAAACCCAAACAAAAAAATCTTCAAATTTACTTTTCCAGTTGTGACTGCATATGACTTAAAGCACATCATACTATAATTTGCTGTTGATGGTACTTCAAAAAAAATACCCAGTATCAGACGTGTTACCTCTGTGCTTCATCTGTGTGATCTCTTTAAAATTTCCTAACATTTTTCCCCCTTAAGATTATGCAGAGAAGTCACATGCTAGTTCATGGGGATTTAGAGAGAAAAATCCTTTAATTTGCATGGTTAAGGGGTCCCCGGGTAAATTAAAGGATTTTGAAACTAGCTCTTACCCTAACTGCTTCTGTGCAAAGCCAAACTGCAAAGAGAAACAAAATTAACTTCCACAGGCCTTGGTTCAGGGACATTCTTAGGAGTCATTATGACAATATGCAGGTTTTGCTTCCAGAATGTCACCAGTGTACAATGTGACTGCTGGATAAAGAATAATCAAATATTTGAGACATTGTTGTGCTAAGTGCTTCCAGAACCAAAAATGGACAGGGCATACATGAAAATCCAGATTTGTAGTGGGAATTCTACTTTATACATTGGATGTCATCACTTAAAGATCTTATTACTGCAGTAATCAGTAGACTCTGTAAATTAGTGTATGAGCTCTCTGCCTTGGCTTGAATCTGAAATAGTGAATCTGCCAAAGGAGTTCCCTTTGTAAAATGGTATTCACTGCAATAGTGGCTTTTCCTATCATAGCCATCATTAGTAAGGAGAAAGATGTCATTTAACCAGAGCCAGTATACAGAAAAAAGAAGAGATCCAGTTCTGGAAGAGACATGTTTAACCTGTCTTTTAATATACATGTTCATAGTTGGGGATGATTGTGTGATGATAATCTGTTGGTGATTATATTTATAAAATAGAGGAAATAAAAAGGCTTCATAGTAAAATGTTGAGTTTTGTTAACCGGTTCTCTTTCTTTCATTTCTCAGACAATAAAGCTTGCCGTATTTTCTTTTTAAGGAATTAGTTTGTTGCTTAATGGCAGTTTGTAGATGAAGTTTTAGTGTTCATTCACTAGTAGTTAAGAAATAGAGGAGTCTGAGAGGTCAGATTATTGAATTGTACAGACTTGTTTGAGAGTTTTATTTTAATAATATATTCCTATCTATGATTGAAGTAAAGCAAGAAAGCAATACCCTCAATGAGATGGATTGACTCAGTGACTGGAGTTACGGGAGTAGGTGTGTCAGATGATAATGTTGGCTCAGGATAGAGCAGGTTTCAGAGCTGTTGGACATAGTGTCGCTATGAGTTGCAGGTGACTCAAGAGCACATAACAACATGATAAAAGTAAATTGATATCTCTTGCAAATTTAAGAGCTTCTGTACCATCCTAGCCTGGTAATCGCCACATGATTATTTCTGTAAGGTAAACTGGGTTTTAATAAGTTGGTTATTTTAATGGCCTTCAGTGATACAAGAGCACTTAGCAGATTGGTAAGTTATCAGTTAATTTTGAATAAAAGTGCCAGATGTGTCCATAAGACATGCGAAGTTTAGGATTCTGTTTAGGATTAAAATTCCATCTTGAATTATGATAGTAAAATTCTTTTAGTCATGAAATTTCTGCATTGATTCTTTGAACAGGTATTTCTTGAGTGCCTGGCATGTGTCAGGTTGTGTTCTGGTTGGTTAGGTATACAACCCACAGCCAACCCTCTTCAGCCTCTGGAGACCTTTTCCCAGCAGGATGCAAAAGCCAGAAGAGAAAAAAATCCAATAGTGCTGTGTTATTTACTAGTGCTATTTACTAATCATCCGTAGACCAAGGTTTGAATGGCATAGTGAAGCAGAGAAATGAGATGAGCTACATAATCCAGCCAGAAATTCCATTTTGGAGGTGTGAGGCCCAAGCTCCTTCCTTCACTCTTTCTAGTTTAAACCCTGCTCCATGTCTTTGCTTTGTAGGCATTTGAGATGCAATAGGACAAAGTAATAATTCCTGTTCTCAAGGAGAGAAACTAATCCAGAATGTTCACGTTTCTAATATGATTTAGAACATCTAAAATAGTACAAAGTATGAGAGCTAAGAATAAACTTTTATAATACATCTTACATAAGTGAGGATTTCTTCAGATTTTTTCCTTAAAAGCTTATCAATTACATTTATTCATATTTAAGTTATTATAGAGCCATCACATTATAATCAACAGTAAATGACTCAATTTTTATTATGACTAATGAATTTTTATAAAACTAGCAGCAGTTTGTTGAGTGCCTACTATGTGCCGGGCCCTAGAAATAGAAACACTGTTCCAGGCCTCTACATGGGCTACAGTCCAATATATATCTTCAATATAATGTGATATGTACAGTCATATGACCATGGCAGATGAATGGCAGTGACAGAATGTATAAGTGCCTCCTTAGGAATGAAGGAAAGGCTTTGAAAAGGAAATGAGATGAACAGGATTGTAAGATGAAAAGGCAAGTTATAAACATCTATGGCACGCTGGAAGAGACTGCATTATTAGTGTCTGAGTTTATATCGTAGTGTGATAGAGTGCAAGTTTAAAGATACCTTCAACAAGTCTAATTCAATATTTCAGTCATGTAAGAAATCCCTGTTCAGGGAGCAGTTTAAGCAGTGTAATTACTATGGTAGTTACTATGGTTTTCCAATGATTCCTTGGAACTTACCTGGAGATTGTGTGCTGTTGAATCGTAATTGAACCATAGATGATCCTCCAGCAGGTTTTCAGAGGGAGTAAACCTCATGTAAGGAGATTGTCTATCCTTCTCTCACGGAGCAGCTGGTGGATTCAAACTGTGTGCCTTTGGGATTACAGCACAGTTCTTACCACTAGGCCACTAGAGCTCCTTTTAAATCCACATGTTGTTATTGTTGTGTGCCATTGAGTCAGAACCAACTCATTATTGACCTTCCAGCCAGTTTTCAGAGGCAGTAAATCACAGAAGGAGATTGCCTATCTTTTCCTCATGGGGCAGCTGGTGGATTCAAACCATGTACCTTTTCAATTGCAGCAGAGGTCATACAATTAGGCCACAGAATTTCCCTAAATAAACAGCATTTTGTTGTGTTGTACCGATGAGTTGGAACCAACCCATAGCTGACCCTCCAACGAGTTTGTAGAGGCAGTTAATTGCACAGAAGGATAATGCCTAGCCTTCTCCTGTGGAGCAGCTGGTGGTTTTGAGCTGTGTGCCTTTGGGATTGTAGCACAGTTTCTTATCACGAGGCCACCAGAGCTACTTATATCTACATAGTTTTAAATTGCCTGTAAAATCTGCTTATAATTTTTACCTGTTTTATGTATTTGATGTACATTTATTTTTATTGAGGAAAAAAGTTACACAGCTAAAAACCACTAGGATAACAGAAAGAGCTTGAGACCTGTGAGATGGCCCATTATTTGTGTCTTTAGACAAATTAAATGAAATTTCTTAAGGTATGAAAAAAATAACTTGTAACGTGTAATTCACCAAATACATTTTAATGATTTTTAAATAACTTTTATTATAATCTCTTTTAGCTTTCATTTACAAAGTAAGAGAGTTTCACCCAGGTATACCAAATTGCCTTTATCTCTAGAATTTTATCATTCTGTGATTATTAAGCCATCTCCAGTATTTCTGAGGTTAGGAATTTTCTTTCTGTATACTCTTCTATTGTTTTTAAAAAGACAATATTGAGATTAGAGCTTCATGTTTTCTTAATTAGAATTAGTAATCTATTTTATAAATTAAAAATACGACCACACAAAACTGACACTGTGTAATTTTCAGGATATGGATATGTCAAGAGCTAGTGATGTTTTGTGTAGCATATATGCCTGAAGTCAAATGCTTCAAATGGTGCTTTTAATGAAATTTTTATGTTCTTTTGGTAGCCAGAAGTGCAACTTGCCGAAGGCTTTGATGTGTTTATGCCTAAATCTCAACTGGACTCTATATTGTCAAACTACACTCGCTCAGGAAGCCTTCTGTTTAGAAAACTGGTGTGTGCATTTTTTGATGACAAGACTTTGGCTAACTCCTTACCCAATGGAAAGAGGAAAAGAGGACTCAATGACAACCGGAAAGGACTAGACCAAAATATTGTGGGTGCAATAAAAGGTTGGTCTGCATCATTTCATTTTATGAGTTCTTTGTTGAGCTTTGCCTTCATTCTATAAAGATGGCAACTGAAATCATAGTCAGTTAGCTCGAGGTAGTTTAATTTGTTATTAGCAAATCTTACAGCTTAAGAGGCATGACTCTTACTGTGATTTCACTGAATGCTTATTGATTTGTTCAATTAATTATTCATGCACATTTTGTTCCATAACTTCAATTACAGTACACAGTCTGATTATCAATTTATTCCACATTGCCTTTCCCTTCACCCATCTTAATAAATGTTTATTATCTATTAATTAATTTTGTACTACTTCCTCTTTCCCTTTCCTGATAAATATACTAGAATGATTCTCTCTGTATAAACTCTCCTCTAGCTTTTTATAGCACTGGTATTTCTCCTTTTGTGACTGCCTGACTTCACTCAACATAATGACCTCTAGATTCATTCATGTTGTCTAGGGATTCATGAATTTTTCATTGTTGTATAGTACTCCAGTATATGGAGATATATACACACACATATACACACACACACACACACACACACACACACACATATATAATAGTTTCTTTATCCATTTGTTCATTGATGGGCACTTGAGTTATTTCTCTTTTCTTGTGCATGATGCTGCAGTAAACATGGATGTGCATGTATCTGTTTATATTGCAGCTCTTATTTCTTTAAGATATATTCTTAGTAGTGAAATAACCAGATCAAATGGTATTCTGTTTTCAACTTTTTAAGGAAAGACCAAGTTGCTTTCAGTCGTAGTTGTGACATTTTACGTTCTCACCAGCAGGGTATGAGAGTTCTAATCTCAGCATACCATCACCAGCCTCTGTTGTTTACTCTGATAGCTAGTAATCTTGAGCATTTCTTCATGTGTTTGTTGGTTATCTTCTTTGGTAAAGAGTCTTTCATATTTTCTGCCCATTTTGTAATTGAGTTGTCTTTTTCTTCTTAAGGTTCTAGAGTTTTACTGATGAATCCCTTACCATATTTGTCATTGCCAAATATTTTTCCCCAGTCTGTGGGCTTTATTTTACTCTTTTGGAGAAATGTTTTGAAGCACGTAATAATTTCCTTTTTAGAAGGTACTATTTATATAGTTTATCCTCTCCTGGTTGTGCATTTTCTTAAATTATGTTTGATAGTTAATTTATACAGTAAGTTGTTGTTGTTATGTGCTGTTGAATTGGAACCAACTCATAGCTGACCTTCCAGAGGGTTTTCAGAGACTATGAATCATATGGGAGAAGATGACTCATCTTTCTCTCATTAAACAGCCTATGGATTTGAACCACCTGTCCTTGAGTTGACAACATAATGCCTTACCCTAGGCCGCCAGAGTTCTCTGTTCTGTAGTTTGGGATTCCTAAATTGGCTTCTGTTTTTCTCTGAGTATCTTTATATTTTTTTTGGTTTGCCCCATCAGCTGTAATCCACTTTGAATTAATTTTTGTACATGGTGTGAAGTGTCTATCTTGTTTCCATTTTCTACAGAGAGACAACCAGTTTTGACAGCACCGTTTTTTAAAAAGCTCTTATTTTCCCCATTTGATGAATTTAATTTCCTTGTCAGAGATCAGTTAGCCATAAGTGGGTGGATTTACGTCTAGGTTCTCAATTCTGTTTCTTTGGTCTTATATGTCTGACACTACTTGCACTAAACTGTTTTGATTGCTATGACTGTGTTTTGAGATCAGGAAATGTAAGGTCTCCTCGTTTGGTATGACTTTTGGGTATAAATTGCCTGACTCCCTACCCAACTATTACAAGAATTTGGAATTTCAAGGTGATGTTAATTCATTAAACTAATAATTTAAGAGCCAGTTTTATCTGCTGCAGAACAAAAAATGTGATCTTCATTTACTGTCAAATGAAAGTCTTTTTCTTCTCAGTAATGTCTAACTAAGAGCTTTACCATATTGTGAGCTTTTCTTCAATTTCTAACTTTAAATAAGGGTAAAGGTTTGAATTTTTTTTCTTCTTAAAAAGTAAATAGGTTCCCCCCCGCCAAAGTTTAGAAGTTACTACATCACTTCTGTGAAGCTGCACTTGTTATGCCAACATATTCCTTGTCTATTTTGCTCTCTCTTGTTTTGGGAAGTGGGAAGTGTGTCAGTTAAATGCAGAGTTTAATACCATTGAATATGTGGCTGCCTTCCACTGCATTGTGGTAACTTACATAGGTGGACGGAAGAGTACGTCTTCATTTATATCCAATGTTACCTCTCAGACTTATTTCTTAGCTTTGAAATATCCTTATTTAGGGCTGTGATGAATGTAATTTTAGAAAACAGAAGAATCTAAATGCAATTTTTAAAAAGAATGTAAACAAGTTCTCAAATGAAATAAATAGAATTTGAATCTACTGATGAGGGTGTTCTCCAGTAGCTCGACACATGTAATATTTGGCTTGTAGAGGAGAACTAGATGCAGACAGAGAGCCTTCTCTAGCCCCCCTTCTGCTCCCCATTATCTTGCAAAATGAGTAAATTAATTCAATAATCTTTAAAGGATACTTGGAAATCCACAATTAACTTTGCAAAATGATACAGTTTTGAAATGGAGTTAGCAAATACCAGACACCCTTGTTCATGGCCAGAAGGACATAAGCCTTCATTAACAGAAAATTTTTCATTGTCTATCAAAATTTTTCACTTAAAATGACAACTGAGTTATATTAAACTAGAAAAGCTACAGAAATATCATAGTCTGTGCCATTTCTGAAAAGAATGATGCAGCTTAGAGTGACACTAAAAACAATTACAGGATTTGAAAAATGGTCAGTGATGTAACTGAGACTCGCAGAAGTGACGAAGGGTCCCATTTAATTTTAATATGGCTGGGGCCTTCTCCAAACATGAAGGTCAAGGCTGATGATACTCTTCATTGCTGAAGCTTTTAAACATGCTGGAATGCAGCCAAGATTTGTTTTAATTTTCTTCCCCCCCCCAGAACAGTATGTTAGCATTATAGATGTATCTGAAAATTAAAGCATCATAAATGACCATGTTCCATTTTAGTGACAATAACAGTTAGTTTACTAATACATGGTAATGAAATATATCATCACGTGTAGATTGATATAAGTTTATTTGACTACTTTGAGTCTCAAGTGTACATTGTTTAAGAACCTGAAAAAATACATTACACGTAGAATTAGGACCAACCTTAATCTCAGCGCTGCTCTCTTCTTTACTGCACAAAGTAAACATAGCAGTAAGTCGGCTGTGCCTAATACCGACAGTGTCAATGCTTCCTGTCCTGTGTTGTTACTCTTGTCTGTAACATATTTTAAGAGGATTTCTCATAAATAATCTTTTCTTACTCTGTCTTTTATGGGATAGCAACTGTATTAATGTTAATAGTCATACAATTTAGTAAAGTATTAAGACTGATTGTTGTTGTTGTTGCTGCTGTTATGTGCCATTGAGTCACTTACGACATGTAGCAACCCTATGTACAGCAGCTCTAAACTCCACTCTGTCTTGTGCCAGTTGCACTGTCTCCGATACACCCATCCCAATTACCCCAGTCACTGAATCAATCCACCTCATAGAGAGCCTTCCCCTCCTGCTCTGTCCCTCCACCCTGCCAAGCATGATGTCCCTCTCCAAGGACCGGTCTCTCCTTACAACATGTCCAAAGTATGTTAGATGGAGCCTCAGAATCCTCACCTCCAAGGAGCCACCCGGTTTAACCCTTTCCAGGATGAATCTGTTTGTTTTCCTAGCAGTCCATGGTACCCTCAATGCTCTTCTCCAGCACCACAGCTCAAAGGCATCAATTCTCCTTCTATCCTCCTTAGTCATTGTCCAACTCTCTGATGCATAACAAGTGATAGCAAAGACCATGGCCTGTATCAGATGCACCATAGTCTCCAAAGGGACGCCGTTGCTTTTCAGTACTTTGGAGAGGTCCCTAACAGCAGACTTTCCCATGGCAATGCGCCTTTTAATTTCCTGGCTACTGGTGCCAAGAGTGTTGACTCTGGAGCCAAGCGCACTAAAGCTGTGAACAATCTCAATCTCGTCACCATCCATCCTGATGCTGCCAATTGGTCCAGTGGTGAGAATCTTCTTGACATTGAGCCTCAATCCATATTGGAGGCAGCAGCCCTTGACCCTCTGCAGCAAGCGCTTCAGGTCCTCCTCAGTTTCAGCAAGCAGGTTTGTGTCATCTGCATAACGCAGATTGTTGATGAATCTTCACCGATCCTGACACCACATTTATCATAGACTGATTAGTTTTGTAAAATCTCAAAAGTAAAATGAATGGCATGGACTAGATTTTATTTCAAAGTGATTGTTGTTGTTGTTGTTACGTGCTGTCAAGTCAGAAGAGACTCATAGCTGACCCTCCAACAGGTTTTCATAGGCTGTGAATCACATGGGAGGAGATTGCCCATCCTCCTCCCATGGAGCAGCTGGGGGATTCTCACTTCCTGCCTTTGGGTTGACCGTACAGTTTCTTACCAGTAGGCCTAATGATTAGATTGCAACAATGGGGAAGACCATGAATGAATATCTTTGAAATGCCTATAAATAGAGGAAAAATGGGATGCAAAGAGTTTTGTGTGAGAATTGTTAGAAAGTGTGTGCAGTGATGATTAATATTCCTCATGACAGAATCTTGAAAATAAAATAGATACTTTTTGAGGAGATTATATTTTTCCCCTTATAGTCATCCCTGTGAGTCATATTCCACTCAACACCTAATGACAACAACAGTTGTTGTATGTTGTCAGTTCTGACTCAGGTAAGCCTTTATGACAGAGTAGAAGCTGACTGCTGCGTCTTCTCCTGCGTAGTGACTGGTGGCATCAAACCACCAACCTTTGCCAACGCTTACTTGGTATTCACTAAAAATTCACTTACAGTATGAGCTACAGTTTTGATGATGAAAGAAGACTCCTTAATTAGAAACCTGTGCACTTTGAGTTTTATCTTGGAAGGAACTTATGATCTTATTAAGTGGAGCCTTAGGGTTG